ATAATAAATAATTTTAGTTGCTGAGGAAGTCTCAAATAGAGACGAAACGTTCAACGGATAAATATAGTGTTCATCTTAATTAAACCCGTCCAAAAAAACAACTTCCCTAAGAGTAAACTTAGTAATAAATTATAATATTTTTATATATGTCAAACATATTATATAGAATTTGACTTTGTATTAAAGGGAAGATTCACACGAGGACAATACTGATAGTTGGGAAACGGTACAAGACTGTATAATTATGATAGTGACGCATCCTGATTTATATAAAAGGCCACAGACATTTTGGGAATGGGCGACGAGTTTAGTTAAAATGGCACGGGACAATAGAGGAAAATCTTTTTGTGAGATTTTAACAGCTATGGGCGAAGCTTATAGTAGATCATTTTTACTTGCTCTCGCAGGTGAAGGAAATGATACACAAAAATGGACTTCTCAAGGATTAGTTGAATTACTTTTGGAATGCGCGGAACAAGAGGGACGATATCCTACAGATGAAATTCGTAGTTGTATTCCATTTGGGTTTTGGTTTACATTACAGGATGATTTATCTACACTTGATCCACCACTTGAAAGTAAGGCGATAGATGCTTTAAAACCAATATATGCACGATTAGCAAACGCATTATTAAGGAAATCTACGCTACCTTCGTCTCCAAGTGAAAGTGGAGATACGGACGAACAAGAACTCTTTCGATGTTATAGGCAAGATGCTGCAGATACATTGGATTATTGTTATAGAGTTTTAGGAGAAGATTTATTAATACTTCTTGGACAAAGATTGAGCGAGCCACTTGACAATCCAGAGAAATGGGTTGATGTAGAATCCACGTTGCATGCTTTCGAAGCATTAGCAGACAGAGTCGGTTTGAATGAATGCCGTTACATTCCTGCTTTAATGGATTTGGTTGTATCTCATATACCTTATAATCTTTATCCCGAAGAAGTAAGTATTATTCAATATTAAATAAACACATCGTATATATTCTAAACGATTGTTAATATATTTTGTTTCTATTGTAGGTACTAGCATGTTCTTGTTCAACAATGGGTGCATATGCCGAATGGATAGGAGAAAATCCTGATCCTTGGCTCGGAAGAGTATTACAACTTGTAACATTAGGTCTTTGGAAAGGTCCGACTACAACACCTCGTGCAAGTATGGCACTGAAAGATATAACAAGAGAATGTGGAGTATTTCTTGCACCATTTGCACCAACTATTCTCAATACAATAGGACGAATTCTTCCAAACGTAACGTCAGAAGGAGGAGAAGGTCAACGCCTTATGTTTGCTGCTGGAAAATTATTAAATACACTTTCTACGGTTGAGGAACAATTAACATACTTAAATGCAACATTGGGCCTATGTATAGTGAAAATAAAAGATTTGTTGAGGCAGCCAATACTCGCAGCACGTTTAACGGTCACGAATCAATTAAGAATGGCTACTATGCTATTTGCAACTTTGGAATCACCTATAGGAAAGGCTGTATTAGATGGACTCTTGCCGATATTTAATGAAATTATTACACATCCTGAGTGGAGTCAAGACAATGCTACATTAGAAGCAATGTACATATGTTCCCAAAAATCATTGTCTTGTCTATCAAATCCAGAAATAGATGCGCGTCCTTTACTTACTATTTTATCAACTTCTTATAAAAATTGGCCCCATCCTGCTGCATTGAATTTATTGAGTCAATTAGTGATATTATTTGGCAAAGATCGGGATAGCATTATATGGCCTGTTTTTGCAGAATTAAGTTCTCTAACGTTAGGTGGTATCAAAGCATGCCAATCGGTACGTGGGGATTTATCTGACTGGTCTGATTTAATGGAAGCATATTTATCATTACTTGCTCAAATTTGTAAAAAGAATGGTGAAATGTTACTTCAAGTGACCGATCAAATTCCTGACATGTTACGATGCGGTAAAATATTTCTTTTAATTCTCTCTCTCTCTCTGTGAAAATATAATGAAAATGAAAATAATTATATTTATTACGTTTACATATGTTTCTTTTTTTTTTTAGGTATTACTTGTTTAGTACTTCCAGAAACGGGGACAGCAAAAGCAGCAGGATGTTTTCTTGTCCATGCTATTATGCAAACTCCGCGCTTGCAAAATTTTATTCGACCAATTGGACAAGAACTAGTTTTTGTAATCCTACAGTGTGTTGGTATGGTATAAATTAATGTTTAATATTTTAACCCCCATTGCGCGCGAAGTTATATCAAATAAAAATTATATGTATAATTTTAGCAGGGGAAGTGGTTCGAAACAATTTAGATCCTCATGCAGAAGTTTTATGGACATTGAATAGAATGTGGTCATCAAATATGTTAGAATGGCTTCGTGTTTCACTTGAAAGTCAAACTGGACCTCTAGCTAGTAATATTGATAAAGAAACTTTTATGCGTGCGGTTTTACGAGAACGGTCAAGTAAACGTCGACTTTGTGAACTGTTAAAAGAATTTAGTCTTAAGTGTCGGCAAAAAACTATTGGGCTGTAACAATGCGCTTTTTCGAATAGATTCAGGCGTACAAGGATTTAGTAAGAACTGATATTAATCTTGAAGAAATATCTTCGTAATATATATATACAAAATCTAAGAATTTATTTCTATGTCAAAAAAGACATATTTATATATATTTTTAACTTCATTATGTAATTAATTAAGTGATCCTGTTAGCAATGAAAGTAAAATTAATATAAATGAGTGATTGCATAAAATATTATTTTTATTTAACTTATGTTTCAAATCATTATTTTGTATACTTATAAATTTAAATTTTACTTCTATATTATAAAATATCTCTGTTTGCAGTTAAATCACATGTCTTTTAAATTAAAAACGACTGCTAAAAAGATTTTTTTTAGTTTTAGTACAACTGTAGTATTTGTTATATACAGATAATTCACGTTTATTGCAACATTAAGTGTTACAAGTATTTAAGTATAGTATTGTTGTCAGTGTACCTAAAGGAAAGACAAAAGTAAAAATTAGGGATGTAAAAGAATGTATCACTTCAGGATATAATAGTTTTACAAAAAAAATGCGATGAGAAGGATATATATTCTTGTGCATTTGCATTCTGAAACAGATACGTTCTGATTATAGTCATACATAATAACAACAAAATAAACAAAAGAGCAAATATATATTCTGCAACTTGTAAAGATTATACATTTTAATTTTTTTACATTCGCAAAATATCAAATTAAATGTAAAATTCACTGTTCGTCTTTTCTTTTGTCCCATTACACGGTAGAAATAAAAATAATAATATTTTGAATGAATATACTATTTGCAAACTATCTTGATTCCAATTTTATTAATAGATATTCCAACTAAAAAATATCTGTCTTCATGATCACAATTTTTATAAACATTTTCTCCGAAACAACAAAAGTTGTTGACTAAATATAAAATACATTATTTTCACCATATACTTTCGTATAGTTACATATAATACAATAACTTAATTGTGAATAATAATGAGCACTAAATTATTAAACCTCTGTTTACAAATATTTACCCCGTACAAGCATGCATCCGGACGGAAAGTTTCATTTGTATACCGAGACTTTTTAAAATAAGAATAATTGTGAGACATGTTTTATAAGAACTACTAAAATAAATGAGTCAATTATATCCTACACATTTTGCAGAGAAATAGAGAAATAATGAGCTCTATTGGATAAATACAACTATATTTATATATATATTATGCGACACCCTACACCACTTAAATTAAAAGTCTTTACTGTCCACTTCCATTAGTCGCTGGAGGTGAAACAAATTTGGCAGCAACACGTGACCGTTTAGGTCTTCCAGATTTCGGTAATTTTGGCGAAGGTTGTAAATTATTTTGTACACGTGCTTCTTTTTCAAGAGTTTTGTTAACGCTTTGCGTTTTCGGAGGCTATATAAAACATTTCAATATTTTTATTCAATAATAATACCCGTACAAGAGAAATATAATGTGATTAAAAACATTTGAACATACCTTAGGGAACGTTTCTTTCTTTTCTGGTTGTTTAGTTGATTGTTTGTTAGTTGATTGAGAATTGCTTGCATTATTTTGCAACGTTTCCTTGTTAGTTTGTCTCGTATTAATTTTCCTACTTTTCTTTTGGGCTTGCAACGGTACGAACGACGTAGCATTTTTCACTTCGGATTTTGATTTATTTGTCGTTTGTTTCTCTTGTATTTTAATTTGACTATTATGGGGCGGTGGCGGTGGCGGTGTCATAAGGGGAAATCCTGGATTTTGTTGAACTTTCATATTCCATTTTGAACAATGTGCTATTGGATTTTCTGACGTTTGATAGGGTTTCGACATATATGGTAATACCACGGGGGGTGGTCTTATATTTTGTAACCAAGGACTATTTTGTCGCATATTAACCCATTGTTGCGAAGGTTTTAATAAAATGTTCGTATCAGGCTTCTTTACCTTATCTAAATTTAATTCCTATATAATACAATAATTTTCATTAATAATATAATGTAAAAAAACAAACAAAAAAGGAATCATCGTATCTGTTAAATTGTATATATTTTACCTCATATACTTTTTTTGCAACGTTTTGTGTTGCCTGTGGAAGATTCAAACCTGGATCTCCTACAAATACTTTCGCGTCTGGTAAAATAATTTGAGCTTGTATCATGTTAGTCTGTTTATATACAAAATAATTATATCTTGGTACGCCCAAACCAAGTATTTGGTAATGATTTAATAAAAGTGTATAATAACAAATAGAGTTTTTGTTATCTTTGATTTCTTTTCTCTGTTGTCTAGCGTACTGCAAATAGAAAAAAGAAAACAGAATTAAAATAAAGAAAATAAAGATAGAAACACAGACAATCATACAAATGTTAATGGCAATTTATGTTTCGAGCATAAAAACAATATTATGCTTACATCGAATAATTTTTGAACTAATGGTGGGGCATCCGATGATTTTGGGGTTTGAGATTGATTTTGATTTGTGGAAGTACCACTTGATTTACTTGGCAAATTTATCTTTGCGTTGTCGTCAGATATTTTCAGCACTTCTTTCAAGAAAGCACTGGGATCTTGTGACTGAAGGTTAGAAATATTGTTAGGATAAATTAACGCTAAACTTATCATGACTGATTTATATTTAAAAAAAAAACTCAACGAGGGATAAAAATTTGGTAGATTTAGTGTTAAAATAATAACATTAAATATGTTCTTTCTAAAACAATAAATCTTCTTTGTACAAAAATAAAATATTATAAAAGATTCTATAATAAAAAAAAATATATATATATATTTCTATAGCACAAAAACGATAGTGAAAACATAATATCTATAAAAATGCATAATAATATCTCATTAATGCACATTATCATCATTTTACATAAAATACTTACTATTTGTTTACTTTTTTCTGTAGTCATTTCGTTAGATTTAACGATAGTTGTCGTGGGAGTTTTTGAAGATCCACTTGAATCCTACAGGGTATTAAAAAAAATATAAAAGATTTATAAATGTCTACAATATTTCTAGGAATTATTAAACTGACCTCTTTTTTATGCAATTCATTCCATAATTGTTGAAATTCCGAGGATAATTGCTTTGATGCTTTTAATTCATTAGAAGGCTTATTATTACTGTGCATTTGAATTTTTGTATTTTGATGTCGCCTCCAAGACATCTCTGTTGTCTCATTGGATGGATTCTCCATTCCTGATTTTCCATGTTCTACTCGTTCGCCATAACTAATGTTAATAAAGTCAGTTATTGCTAATTTGTAACCACGATTCGCGGAACATCCATTAAAAGTTAGTCCACCTTTATAAATGAAAAAAAAAAAAAACAAATAATGAAATACAAAATTAATTAATTAGATAAATCTTCAAGCAAAGATTGGCAAAGAGACTTTTAATTACCTAAAAATGATTTATCAAATAATACGTCATAAATACTATCTATAGCGACCTTTGCTTCCTGAATTCCTATAATAGTTCCTTTATAACCAACTGGTACAGTAAAACTTCCTCTGACACAGACAATTCTATCTAATAATCTTGTCTGACATTTTGGATCGGGTGGTAGTTGACGTGAATATAATTCAGGATTAAAAAGTAATTGTGGCTTTACTTGCATAACTATTTTGTTTGAACTCCTATACGCTTTATGATATTTATCCACCTCTTGTTCTATTTTTTGTAATATTTCTGATTCCAGTACATTCACCCCGCAGGGACGACTTTCTACTTCTCGAGAGTGTTGTTCTTTTAACCAAGCTACTATGCTACTTAATTCATCTGATCTATAAAAGTACAGAATATTTTTTTTAATGCATTATAATATTACACTAATTATGCGATAAGTGAAATAATAACACGTGTTTGTAACGTACGATTTATCAAATAGCTCTTCTTCGCTAAAAACATCGATCGTAATACTTTGAGTCAATCGTTCAAATAAATTAGGAAACTTTGCCATATAATCACGTATAAGTTCAACAGCCTTTTTACTGTACAACCATTGACTATAACCATATTCTTTCTTGGTATAGCCTGGTACCTGTTAGATTTTCATATTTTTAGAATAATTTTAAATTCATAGATGAAATATAATTGATGATCATTTAAGATTTCACGAAATTACTTACTTCTTCATTTCTTTTATTAAACTTTAGATTTAATCCGATATTAATAATTTCTCTTGGATTATTCTGCGCTATATAAATTGTTCCAGTAATTCTACTTAAAAGATGACTGCTTATTCCTAGTCGTTGAGCAGCTGTGCTACCATAAATATATTGTGTTTTTAATTCTGTGTATGCTTGTTTCACCGCGGTCAAATTTGGTTCAGTTACAACATTCACAGATATTTTTATTCTGTTAGAGTTTATATTGATCTTTGGTCCAACGATCTATTTTATAAATAATTTCAAAACGCATATATCAAGAATGTAAAAAATGTGTTAACAAAAATAATATAATGAAAATACCTCTCCCATTGCACCATAATGTGGATGGCCTAACATAAAGCAAATATTTCCTGGTATAAAGATTTCATCGATTGTTTTATGCACAGGAATAGCAGAATATGTAGGAATATTTTTTAGTATAGTTTGATAAGCATAAAACATTGGTGTCTCTTGCCACTGCTTTTCTACAGACAATTTTCCTTTTGCTTCAAAAACGTATTTACTGCCTATTAATGGTTGTGCATGAATTAAAATATCAGTTTTTCCAATGTCTATACCAAAACGATTTAGATACCTGTTCATACAAAAATAATTTATGATGCAATAACTTGTTAAAAAATGCGCTTAATAGTAATCAATTATTTTTCTTACGTTTCACTAATAGATTTGACTTCTGAATTCCATTGAGTTATACAAGCTCCTTTTAATTCTTTCTCAAATATATTATTAGAAGAATATCCTAATTGTGGAGTGATTAAATTTATTCTCTTTTTAAAATCAGATACACCAAGGACAAAAGCTTCTCGTAAATAAGGCCACTCTACAAAAATGGTTTTATTTAATAAAGAGGCAGCAATTGATTTTAGATTTGGTTGTTCCTCTTGTGGTTGTATATATAAAATCATATTGTCATTTCTTGACGCTTGTTCAAATATTTTCACCTATTAAATAAATTGAAAAATTGTTAGAACAATAAATAGGAGAAATCCTAATAAAAAGATAATAGATACAAAATAATAATTTTAATTGTTAAATCCGATATTTGATTTTTATTTATATTACTCAATTAAAATTTTACGAAAATAATATGTAAATGCTCGATAATATTTATAAACAAAATACCTTAGCTTGTTTTAATTCTGCTGTATATCGAATATATTTTAGAGTAGGAAATCCAAAATAATATACATCTAAGTTCACATTTGGATGTAATCCTCTTACTAATTTTTCTTTAGGAACATAGATATCTTCACGATTTATTATTTCTCTACGACTATGGTTGTCAATTACAGGTAAATTTCCAAGTGCATGGCATAAACCCAAAACCTCTTCATCGTATGAATACATATACATTGGACCATGCTTATTTCTTTCACATTCTTCCGCTGTAAATTGTCTATAATACGGCTTCATAGCTATTGACAAATATTTTATTATATTAAAACTAATTATTATCAAAATTATTACACTTATTTTATTAATATTATTACTACTACTACTGTTAATACTATTACAAATATTAATGCTGTTAATTTATTAATAATATTATATTAATTTTATATAAATATTATTATTTACCATTTATTAAAATTTTCTCATCGATAAATGGTATAAGTACAACAGCTTCCCAGTCTTGTTTCTTGCCATTTAAATCAGTTTTAAAATCAGATGGATAATAATTAATAATAGGTGATTCTTTTTCAATTAACAATGGTTGCAATGCCTCCGGTAATAATTTTCTGCTATACGGCGGTAATACTGCTAATAATTGTTGAAACGGCTCGAAAGGTTCTCCTAGTTCAAAATCCAAATTTATGTGTCTAAATCCTTTTATATCCGAGATATATGGAGCATAATGATGTGGATAATACCAAGACCAACTGCAGCATCCATCGTAATAGTAATGTAAATTCCATTGAATTGCTCTTACATATACTTCTGCTTGGGACCGTAGAACATCTCTAAAAAGCAACTGCATTGTATAAATAATTTTCAAAAGAATGTTCAAACATTCGTTGCTTAAATTGAAATTGAACATACTTTAAATTCATATGGAATATAACAAAAACACTTACTCGTTGACATCTTTGTATTCTAATTTATTCATATAATAATCTCGTTTATGTAAAATAAATTCCGTACTATATGTGTCACTGTCAGACTCATCATCCAATTCATCTAGAGAATACTTTGTTATTTCCTCTTCCAAATCTTGCTGTAAAATAAAATATTAAACAAAAGTGATTATAGAATTCAATCAGTTTATAAATATTTAAATATATATACATATATTATACGTTAAAATAAATACCATTTCCATATCTGCAAAAGGTTTTAGTATATTGTCAACTTTTATAGAAGGAGAACAAGATAGTGAAGAATCATCATCTTTTAAAGAAATTTGTTCATCGTTTTTTGTATTCTTATTTTTATTTATTTTAGCTTCTAAATATTTAAAATCACAGTAATACTCTGCAAAGTTTTCTACATCAATGCGACTAAGTCGTTCCATGAATACTTCAAAACGATCTAATCTTAGTTTTCCTGATTCGTTTATATAGCCTAAATTGATAAATATTATAATTATTATCGTTTATATATATGTATTATGTTATGATAATATTTATTATATTATTATATTTTTGTATGGTATTACATACCATCTAAAGTTGGCAAGACTTCCATATACGCATGATATAAAAGTGGTAACGCACCACTATGAATATTTAAATTTGGTAAATTGGGAATAAAATCATTTCCCACGAGAAAGCCCATTAGTACCCAATCATCGATAATATGTTCAATATCAAATGGAAAGGACAATTTATCTTTGATGGGAGAAAATTCATGACTTAAATATTCCCTTAATAACGATAAATGAAGAAGACAAAACTTCGTTTCTTCTGGTGTCAAAACTTTTTTGTGCTTTTTTCCAAACTTAACTTCTTCCCTTAATAACGAAAAATTTCGTTCGTGTGTACAAAGACCCAACATTATTAGGTCTGCATCTAGGCCATATAAGCAATGCCTAGTATTGGGATTATAGTCTTCTTGTGATTTTAAATATCGTATATAATCCATGATTTTGTGTTCTCCTTCTCCTACTACCTAAAAACGTTTCAAAATAAATATTTATTTCTTTTTTTTTCATACGCATATATCATCTGTTTATACTCGAGGGTTTTTAAGCAAAGTCATTTATATTTAAATACATATAATTTCCATATGTATAGCAATATGACAAAAACAAATCGCAAAGTAGCTGATAATACGAGTAAAAAAAACCTTCGAGTGGAAAAGATTAAAATATAAAAGCATTGTAATGAATACCTCTGAACCACTAAATAATATTTTACACTTTTGCCAAAGTTTATCCGTTGAAATTTTGTAAATTATAAAATTTTTTAATTTCTTATTTATTTCTGACATAAAAAGAGTTCCTGGCGTTATACAATTGGAATCAAATATATTATCCTTATTGTAAGTACCATTCGCTATTTCTTTAGCTTCTTGTATCTCCGCAGTTTTTGCGGTTCTAAAACGACGAGCTCTTTGTTGATTAATCTTGGCTCTTGGAGCGACACCATCAATAGCAATAAAAAATAACTTTTTAGGTTGAATCATACCAAACAATATTTCAGTATAATGAAATATATTGTTAAATATTTCATCTTGCGTAATACGAAAACTTATATCATTGTCGTTTGGATGTGAACAAGTATGTATGATGCCATTCATATCTAAATATAAATTATCAAATTCTGGAATCTGTGTAAAGAAACAAAATATGTAACTTTTCCTTAGACCTGAACATAATATGTATTTAAGAAAACAATATTTGAACATTTGTTAAAATGAATTTAAGTTTAATAATAAAATATATACACAATTAGAAAATAAATGAAAGAATAATAAAAATTATAATGATATGTAGAAAAATGTGATTTTCAATTAGTAAACATAAATATATACCTGATAATCTTTTAACATTTCGCTTAGACAAGGATATCTTTCGCTTATATATCTAAAAAATTTGGGTATACCCATTTTGGTCCGTGCTTTTTTTTATTCAACAATAATAATAATATTTCAAATGATATGCACGTATATTACAATGATTTCACACAATCGTTTATCTTTTTAAATATTTATATAAAAATTAAAAACTTTGACTATAAGTGTTTTATACCAACATTAATATACGTCTTCAATAAAATGGGTTCCTAAAGATACGAAAGTTGGAGCACTTTGTTTTCAACGGAACCTGACATGTAAACGTTGTTCGCTAGTTACACTTTGCTTTACCACATAACCAATCATAACCAACATTGATTCATTAACTTTTTCTGAACGACCAATCATATTTGATAAAATTTCGTAAGATTGTAATTTTTATTTTAAAGTTATGAAAATTTTTCGAAATTGCACAACTAAATTGAATGTTAATTTAAACAAAACAAAAAAAACAATTATCACTGTATACGATAAGTAAAAATTGTTTAAATAATTTATCAATCTTAATAACTTAATTTTTTTTATCAATAAACTTAATATTTGTTTCTTTCTGTTATTAATGATAGTGTTGGGAGCATTTGATGTATTTAATTAATAACATATATTTAATTTTATCTATCCTATATAGATTTTACAGGCTTTTAGTATTCTTAATCAGTTTGTGTTTGCATAAATTATCTTTCATTTATATTTAAGTATTTATATGAATGTATTTATAAAGTAAATATATCATATAAAATATCAATGGTATATATTATTTCTACAAATGTTTCTTTCTTTAATAAGTCTTATGAAGTAGGTTCTTCTGCTTTTAATAAAAGATCTCCTTTCGGTTTTAATTTGCTATCAAGAATTTTTTGTCGTTCTTCCTCTTTTTCTTGTTGTAATCTCTTATGTCTTTCAACCGCATAATCTATTTCTCCAACTAATTTATGAATTCTTACCTAAAACATCGAACATTATCAAAAGGTTTTTCTATTTTCTATTAAGAAATATAACTAACACACAGATATTAATTAATAATTTTGATATAAGTATAATATACACACGGCATATTCTCGTTGTTTAATTATACGAGATTTTTGTCTAACTCCAAGCGGTGTTGGTCTTCCATCAAGAAATGAATAATCTGGCTTATTTGTTAAAGGTCCAAATGCATTCGGATTTTCTGTTAATCCTTTTCTGTAATAATGAACATATAATAAATAGGAATAGAATTAAAATAGAAAACAATCAACGAGATAGTATAGCTTACTTCCTTCTCCAATCTTGCTTTAATAAATTTATGTAAGATGTATGAAATTCATTGTTGACAATGTAAAAATCTAAAATGAAATAAAATAATAACCTTAAAAAGTGTTATTGATAATAGAATAGATTATGAATTAATATACATAAATTAAATATATATACATATGTATAATATATAAAAAAAACATTTTCTACTTTTTATTGTAATAAGTAATAACATTTGTATACTAACTTGCATAATTATTACGGGCAAATATTTTTGATATTTTGGTTAACATTTTGATGATTTTGATAATATATATTAGATATTATTAAAGTTTTCTTTTCTAATAACACATTTAATTATTATTTATGTTATAATTTGTCACTGACTGTAATTAACAAAATAAAATTCAAAACATTTGTTTATAAAAGCAAAGAATACAGAAGTACATAGAAGCTCACAAGTCCACCTTTCGCGTAACTAAAATTAACTTAGTTACTACCGGTACTACCAGTGGGCGAGAGTAGTTACTTAACACGATGACGGTATGATAGTGTATAATATATCCTTTAATAGTATATGTAATATATATATAGTTATATTGTAAAAAAAATAAAATTTTAAATAATTATATTTAATTTTTAGTGTATAAGCATCTGTTTGCATTCAGAAATGCATTTATATATATATTTTAAATAATATATATACAGTAAAACCTCCTATAACGCTGTAAGTGCGTTCCGCGTTATATGGAAACCGCGTTATAAGAAATTGGGATTTAACCGTACAAACCAAGCTAATT